TAAGTGATTTTCTGATCTTTCGTCGTTGAAATAAAGTAAACATCTTTGTAGATAAATCTGAACGGGGATCTTTAATTTTGTTACGCCCTGTACATACTGGAATAGATACCAGACGAAACCTTCACAGGTTCCGATTTTTTAAAAAGAAATCAAAACCTTTTTAGGATTCCTTAAAAAACGAGGCTTCATACAGATTCGAATATAACGAATTGGCTCAATATATGTACCAATGCACTCATCTATATCGATAAACCACTTACATTAATCCTCAGCACACTCCCTCCAACTATACATATACCATTATTCTAAACACTTAATCCATACGCATAGTGCCCTTCCCGAGTCTTATCATAAAAGACTCAGTCTTAAAAGAGAGCGGTCGATACCTGATGAAATCGACCTCTCAAGAACTTTGATTTCTTGTATGCAAAAGTGGCGCAGACGGTGTTGGAAAGCGATCAGTGGTAGAATTAGCCCTATTGTACTTGCCTGTACTGTACCCAGGCTATTGGAATACTCAATGACTGTCATATATGCCCGCGGAAAAAAGAAACTGCATTCAGTATTTTAAGGAAATCTTTTCTATAATAAGATATTTTAAAAAAAGATATGATATATTCTGAAAGCGCGTGGAGCTTTCTGTCAGCCTGTATATTTGCTTTTTCGTTTGAATATATGTTTTCCCAAAAAAAATTGAGTGTAATGAAGACAGTCTCATATTCAAATTCCCACAGGCTTGATTTTGTCACTAGCACCAAAATTAGTTTTTTAAATTTTTCATCAATATATAATTACCTTTTGAAAAAAAAGTAATTATATATTCTGATAGAGCTTGAAATTCTCTATCATCCTGTATATTTGTTAACCATTTTGCATTTATGTGTTGCAGCACATTCAATACATAAATGCAAGGCAAGGGAAAAATATATAGGATGATAGAGAATTTCAAGTTCTATCAGAATCTATAATTCCTTTTTTAGAAATGTATTTGTATAGTAACTCTATTTCGACAAAAGCAAAAAAAGTAAAGACTTTCGGCACCTGTCATTTTACGGCGAGTTCACTCTACTCAAATTTTCTTTTCAATAAATGAATATAAGTAAATAAGTAAATATACAGGGTGATAGAGAATTTCAAGCTCTATCAGAATATATAATTACTTTTTTCAAAAGGTAATTATATATTGATGAAAAATTTAAAAAACTAATTTTGGTGATAGTGACAAAATCAAGTCTGTGGCAATCTGTATATGATAGGCTAGGTTTTATATGGTTGGATCGAGCTTCTAAAGGACTACAAAATAGTATAAAAACACCGAGGAAAAATATTGATCGATATTACATCAGAAAGACCGTACTACTCCTATATGTCTTTATTGCGAGTATTGTTAACTGAATAGTGTACCTAGGTCAACTAATCTGATCGTCCGCCATGCTAGTTTGTAGATGGATCAATAGGGGTTTTTGAAACGCTGGAAAATGATGTAAAAGTATCGAAGAAAAAAATACTGGGGACTTAAAAATGCCCGATGATACTGTTTCCAAGTCATGATTTTGAGCAGTTTTTAGTGGTACTTGTTTGATTTTTATTAAAAAAGTACTGTTTCGATAAAAACTAACAGAATATTCTGAATCACCATCTAAAACTTAGTAGGCCTATGTAAAATTTAAATATTTCTATCGACTTCTTTCTTTGTCGAAAAATTCACCCTAGGTCCCCCTCAGGATCAAGTCAAAACATGAATCTCGTCAAAACAACGCCTTTATTGTTTGAGTATATGCTATTTTGAGTACTATTGTCATTTTACAACCGTACAGGTCAGAAATTTAAAAAAACGATGTTATTGAAAAGTTGGAGTTCCTGATGAAAAAATTCAGTACAATTTTAACATCTCGATGAAAACTTCACAAAAGAGAAAATCCTTTGGATACTATCATAGCCAGTTGATTCGCTATAATTGGGGAAAATACGAGCTCAGAAACCTTTAATCAGCCACAAATCCTCTCTTAACTCTATATTTTCAGTAATCAGGAATGGCTACATTTTTTTGTTAAGGTCAATAGTAATGCTTAATAAAGAACCTCTCAGAGCATGTCTATATGGATATAAAACTTGAACATGTCTCCATTTTTGATAACAAAATTAGCTCGTTTGCTTGAGCCCTAACGAAGATATTCAATCTTTACTTTGGGTCGTGACTTTTAAGCCACCCTGTATATATAACATCTCTTTATAGGATTCTATTCTAACATTCTTTCAGATAAAGTCTGTCATATAGCAACAATACGACAATGCGGTTATCTCTTATCCAGTGTTCCGATATATTCTGAAACTTTTTATGGTTTTTCATCTCTCTCGTTCGTATCACATTTGCTGATGTCGTGTTCACTCATTATCACCACATTAGTATAAATAAATGATAATGATACCATTCTAAATTCTTAATAAAATACAACTATGAGCATCTATTCTTTTTATACATTTTTATTCGGTATCATCTTAACTTCTCATAAACCCTAAGTAAGCATTATTTCAAAAGTGTTACAATTAAAGTCGAAAATAGGGTTTTAGGGTTTGGACTGTGGGTGTGGACATGGGCGTCTGAGTTGATTTGCTTGTCTGTCGTATGTATAAGCACTCACATCCATACCACATGCAGACATCCAAACCGACATCCTCAGAGCACCTTATACTGTAATAGTGATTTACAAATATGTTTCATAAAAGAGAAACATGAATGACTTCGATTCCAGTGAGCCGATTAATGAAAGAAGCTATTATAATATGATATCGTAGAAATGTCTCATTGATTTCTGTACTAAAATGAAATTACTAAGAACTCATCGTCAGCTAAAATGTTAACACACTATTTTACTAAAAATTTTAGCTATTCCTCCAAGAACCCTAATACCGAAACCCACAACACATACCAAAGCAACTAAAAGCGCCACCGGAACAGATGTGTCTCAGCAAAGTTATCGCGAAATTGAAAAACGTATCGCTCAAGTCACGGATAGCAACCGTGTGCCGTTCAATCCTCCAGACGTTATAAACGGAACCCGCGAATCAAGGATGATGGCTGCCGCTTGGATACTTGTTTGTATATTTGGCTGCAAACTCTATGGTGGATTTGTACGTGATTGGATTGTTGGTCAACAAAGAAGTCGCCCGAAGAATAAAACCATTGATCAGTGGGTCTTATATGACCAGTCTCCTCCTCACTTACATCCAGAACTAGTACCAGCTGATTTAGATTGTTATTTGCCTTCACATGGATTGTACGAGATCGACGAAATTTTGAACGAATTAGGAAAACTAAAAATGCTTGCCAAAGTTCATCGTCATTATTGGCGATATGCATTGTTAGTGGATGAAAATACGAAAACTGGTCCTTTTATTATTGATTTAATTATACCAAATATAAAAGGTACCCAGTACGATCGTATTGATTTTGATATAAACAATCTTTTCGTTGAAAAAGATTACACTCAGCACTTGGGCATGCGTATTGATATAACATGTCCTCCACATTCAATTACTTTGGAAAACATTGTTGATCATATACAAAAACAATCCTTTCATTTTTTGGGGGAAATTAATGATAAACCCAGTGGAAAAATTCTTAGTGACAGACTAAATAAAATGATAACTCGTGGTTGGACGCAGATTAATCCAGCTCTACCATCAGTAATGCCGAGTCTAAATCCACCGTCGAATAGTACACTAACGCCATTATCAAAAGATTCAAGTCTTTACCAAAAATTAGAAAAACTCATGAAATCATCTTTTCTTAAGAAGGATCTTGAAATCTTATCAATAGAACAAATAAAAAATACTGAATTAGAAAATATATATATAGAAGCACAAAAGATTATTGCAACACAATCCTCAACATCCGACGGAAATGAAGTTCAGCTGTTTCATGGTGCAAAAGGTAACTAGATGCAAGAATCGTAACGAAGTCAACTAAACTGGTTGACTGACCTCTTGATATTGCAGAGTTTCAGAGATCAACAAACATAAAAAATCCCGACTCAATTCGATAGTATCCCTATTCGGTACAGTTCGATTAGATTTCGCTGATATTGAAAGAGTTCATTCAATTTTTCGTTTCGATGGGAAATGACAAAAGGCGCTTAGTCTCTTTTGACCTATTCAAATTTACGTCGTTTCTATACATTTACGGGCATTACATCGAAATGTGTATGTTCACATCTAATATGTTTTAATCTATGCGTCCAAATCCAGGTACATCCATTCCGCGGATTCTATCCATCAATGCAAAAACTAACGTGAACATAGGTTACTATGTAGGCAGGGATGAGTATGAGTCGCGACCCTTCGGAGAGCACTATATACTCTCACCTGGCGACTCAGATAGGAAAGATCAAGGACATGGGAGGGGGGGGGGGGGGCTGTTCAATTCTGGAATAATCAAATTAAAACGTCAAGTTTCATATTTGAAACAAATTCGAGTGTATTAAAAGTGATTATAGAAAGGGGCTTATACTTTTGGACGTGTTTGTTTAGACACACAACTTAGACATATTAGATTCAGACGTTTGCATTTGGACGTACAGGTTTGGGCGTATGAATTACAATACATTAGATTAGGATGTCTATAATAGGACTTCTTAAATTTGCAAGTATTGATTATGACGCAATATATTCACAAATATGGAAAGAAAAATATTATAACTAAGATATTAGTTTATTGGAAACTTTGCCATACTTTGAGTTTCCCCATAGATGACTTTATATTTTTTTATCAGAGTTTTACAAATAAATCACAAAGCGGATCATACATATGTGTTTCTGTTAGAGACCAAATGTAAACAACTTTACTGATTCGAACTCGGCTTGGTTCATTTAGGTCTTTCATAGTTGTGGCATTTTCCTGTAAACTTATTTTAAATTAAAGCTTTTTTCAATGTCAATTGTAAAAAAAGACTACGATGGTGTGTCAGTGTGGATGTGGGCGAAGAGAATATTGATACCCACACGCGCATCCAGCTTTTCGACTCATGTCAACTGAATTTCGATCGTTCTACCCAATGCCATCGTCAGATATGATGAAATATGATAGAATGATGAACGAAATAGTCGGAATTAGCTAAGATTCGCCAAGTTTTGGTTGATTCTGGCAAGGTCTTGCACTTTTTAATGGTTTGTTGTTAAATCTGACAATGATATCAGCCAGAATGATCGAAACTGAGTTGGCATGACTTGAAAAATCAAGCGGAATAGATAGTTCTACATATCGCAAATGAGCGATCTTTATTGTCAACAATCAGGAATTGGTGCATCACTACTAGTTAGTTACTAATTAATTAAATGAACTATTTTTGACTTTTACAGGTAATGCCACTACTGGAATTGTTAACTTTGGTTTCGATGAGGAATTCTATCGTCATGGGAACTGGGGTAAGTAAAATTAGTCACAAAATAGATTCTTTACTTCTTAGATTGCAAGTCGTGATAAAGTATTTTACCTGAGGACGATTTAGAAAATTCACCAAGGGAATACTTTCCATAAGATTGACTCATGAGTAAAGGGAGGCCAGATACTGATCATTGTCAGTGACCATAGGAAAGAAATATGCTAAATTTCAGTCACAGACTCCCGTGGTGTGGGTGTGGTTTTTTTTCAGTGAACACGCCCACATCCACACCCTGAGCTACAACATATATGCTCTCCACATATTTTAATGTAAGACTATGTAGAACCCAGATTTCACACGGAACAGTGTTGACACAGTATTTTAGTAGACAGAGCTGTAGAGTCTTTTCTGTAATCATGTAAGGAACTTTATTATGTGGATCTAATATCATGCTGAAAAGAAAAGTCAGTGCATCTGAAAAGGTATTAAGTGGCTTTGACGTCGAAGTCTTTGTTTTTAGGATAAAAAGCGTCTACATTCACGTTTTCCAGAATTTCTGGGGCAAGCTAGTAGAATACGATCGAGTTTCTTTTCATAACCTGTAATGTCTATTGAGAACCATGTTGTGAGAAAGCTGTTTCGTTATGAAAGAGACGTTTCAAGTAGTTGTTTTAGTGATTCACAGTTCGATATGCTTTATGTAACATGGACAAGACAGTAATGACTCATGCAGGTCTACTCGCCGGTTCGATCCGGTCTGTCTGGCTTGGACTGATGACGGTACTAGTCAAGAAAAACTCTCTCGGTTGCAACAATGAATCACACACGTTCGCTCTGTTAAGTAAACATTATGCCAGTCATCTTTCTGCCATAATCTATTTACTTACAAAAATAAAAATTGTAATTAGTAAATATCTAACTGAGACCGTATTATATATGTACGTATGAATATAAGTGTAGTTGCGGTTGCAGACCTTTTCATCACTCAGATTTACATTCTTACTGACATACGATTTATTTTATGTTGTACTGCACTTTTAGGGAAGGGAGCATATTTTAGTGACAACCCAAAATCGGAACATACTAATACGTTACCAAACACAGAACAAAATAATGAACGAATTATTTTCCTAGCCAAGGTTCTTCTTGGAAAGACGAGAGTGTATCAGACGCCGAAAATCAAATTACAGTCTGCGCCAAAGAAATACAATTCAGTTCGTGGAGTTTTTCCTTCACAACCAAACTCTGATGAATTTATTATATACCGGTACGGGCAAGCTTTACCTCAATTACAAATAAAGTACAAATTATAAAACAATTCTTCAAAAACAAATATTCATGATAATATATAACAATCCAGAAGTCATGTACTGAGAAGATTTTTTTTCATTTGTGTTAATTGTTCAGATTGATTGAAATCATTTGAGAAATAAATTGTGAAGAAATTAGATTGTCATTTCAGTAAGCACAACGCTAAATAGTTTCGTGAGCATCCGTTGATGGTTCGAATGGAAGGCAATATGGAGAATGAGGGTGTGGATGTTAGAATCTGTCGTGTTGGGTCCAGATTTGAACCCGCTCGGCTTCATGTGGGATCCAAGTTGAAAAGTTTATGCTAACGTGCTCCGAGTACGAACATCGATTTTCTCTACGAAACGGATCCCGTTAGGTTCTAATTCCAACACAATTTTTGATGCGAATGCGAATATTTTTCGAAGTTTTACTTATCTGCGGTTTGGTCTGAAAAGTTACTTTCTGTTGGTTGTTGCTGTTAAGCATAAATGTTTTCTGTATTCACTGGAGCCGTAGATTGGTTTCAGGCATAGAAGCGATCGATTATGGGTCCAGTAATTTTCTGTTAACCGGGCCAGGATCTGGGTGTGGGGTGTGAGTGTGGGTGTAGGTGTGGATGTGGGTGTGGGTATGGAGTAGGGTGCGAGTGTGGGTGTAGGTGTAGGTGTAGAGTGTCGATGGGCGTAGGGTCTGGGTGTGGCGTCTGAGTTGGGGAAGATCTAGGTCAAAACACCCACACCCACACCCTTTCACTCAACTTCGATCGAAAGTACTACTGTTGAAAGTATTCAACTATGACACTTGGATAAGATAGAGGAAGGATACAGAGGCGCTCTCATCCTCAGTATCGACGTTTCCTTGATTCTTCATTAATATTTTTCCTTTTCGACACTTTTACTTTCCAACAAAATTTGGATAACCTTGAATTACTGCCCTTATGAATTTCAAAACTGTCAACATTTTATTGGATCCACAGTTTTCTCTGCCTTTCGCAGTTGTTGCGTTATAATAAGGAAATTGATTTCTCGATAGTCGCTTAGTTCGCATATTTTTGTTCTACCGTAGGACGATCGGTGGGGGATTGCTTGGTATGAATTTCAATATTCTTTACATTCATCAATGGATTCTTAAATAAAGTGGTTCTAAAAACTTTGCTGTTTGCAATAATTTTAAAACAAATATTGCAGTGTTAATAAGAGGAGGTAGAAAAGATATCGATCCGAAGCACAAGAGCCGTGTTTCACCGAATTAACCTTTACGATCATCATTTTTCTTCAAAGAAGAAGTGCAAACTGATGAATCTATGAAAATCAATGCTAAACTAAAAGAACTCAGCATTCAGCAAGACAAACTCAAGAAAATGATTGATGAATGCAAAAAAGAAACTAAAGACAATAGCGTGCCATTGAAAAGCCAGTCCAATCAAAGCTTTTCAACACCAGGTCAGTATATTGTTGCTCCGCTTCCCTCGTATGCAGGAGAGTCTTAGGACGAATTTATCATAATAATCTCTTCCATTCTAGCACCATCGTCCTCAGCAGTATCTGAAAGATATGGAGCAACATCAATAATCATCATGCACCGTACGTATTGATGCATTTGCTTTTGTTCTCTCAAGGTTATTGTCAGTAAAGGTCTTTATGGAATACAATCGCTCATTCAAGTTGAATTACTTTCTATAGTGTGAGAATTGAAGTTCACTTCTTGCCTAGCGGCCATGGCAGATTTAGCGAAATATTCACTTTCTCCTCATACATCATGGCAGATATCTTTATATACCACCTTTTCGGCTTTGTTATCCCAGCGATCTACATGTTGTTGATTAGGAAAAAATACAGAGCAGACATCAAATGGAAGCACAGATTAGCGAAAACCGGTTGGTTTTGAGAAAATCTAAATTGTTTCTCGTCACACATTGAAGACAAGAATATAATACCGACATGTCTTCATCAACAAACAA